GCGCTCCAACTAGACGGGATCTATGCCCGTTGGTCTCCTAACATAAACGAAGTCGCAACTGGGGGGCTCTTCCTGCCGACCGAACGAACCGAGCATCTCAGAGAGCTCGCTACCAGGACCTGGGCGACCGGGAGCCCGACGAGTCATCCCGGGCTGGGGAGGTCACCAAGCTCAAAAATCCTCACGCAAAAAAGAGCGCAAAGAGCTCACACCACAAGACGCCAAACAGCCTCCTGAGACTACTACCCTCCTCCGCCTCTCCCTCCCTGGGCTAGTCCAGGGGAGATAGCCGCCGTCGAGGGGGTACCACCGCACAAGTCCGCGCCCTTCCACAGCACTGGGTCTAACTTGAAAAGTACTCAAACGGGAAGACCCTGCGGCAACGCCAGGCGATCAAGCCTCCGGAAACCACAGGGGGGGAGGGTAGCCAGCTCGGCGGCCCCCCAATACCGCTCTACCAAGACGGCTGGTCCCCAAGATCCTATGTATGTATGTATGTTGTTACAGGGTGGTTAACTTCGCCAGCGGCCCCCTTTCCCGGGGCAGTCCCTGCTCTCCCCTGCTAGAGGGGCACCCTAATCCGTCACCCCATCCGACTTCAGAATGTATTCGTTGGGTTCGGCAACTCACCACCAGCATCCAACCAAATCTAGCGGATCAACGGCGCATCAACTTAGTTCCTGGTCAGCTCGCAAGTTGATATTATCACGTCCTACACCGTCCATAAGATGGGGGGCCACCTCCCATTTCATCACTCCTCAAACACCCGAGGAGCCGGCAGGCGGATTTGAACCCGGGTCGACTGGGTCGACTGGGAGCAGAAGTCAGGCCTTAACCTCTGCCAGCCGCCTGCCTATATGTATGTATGTATGTATGTATGTATGTATGTATGTATGTATGTATGTATGTATGTATGTATGTATGTATGTATGTATGTATGTATGTATGTATGTATGTATGTATGTATGTATGTATGTATGTATGTATGTATGTATGTATGTATGTATGTATGTGCATGTGCATGTGGGGAATGATGCACTCCTGGGTTGGGTGGGTTGGGTGGGGTGTGTGTGTGTGTTGGGGGGGAGACAGGGGAAAGGGGAGGGAGAGAAAGGAGCCCCGAACGCAGTTGTGGTGTGTTTGGGAGGCACTGGGGGGGTTGAGGGATGAGGGGCGAGGGGGAGCAGGGCACTGACGACGAGCACCCTCCCTCCCTCCCTCCCTTCCCCCCTCGCCTCAATGAACGACAGCGGCACCGCCGTGGCCCACTCCGCCAGCGCCGCCGCCACCTCGTCCCGCGCCGCCTCCAGATCCAAGTACCCGGGACTGCCGCCCGCCCACCAGCGAACCACACTGCCCGGGGAGAAGGTGGCCTGGTCGTCCGTATCCACCTGGGGGGGCGGGGCAGTGGTGGGGGGAGTGGGGGGTTGGGGGGGAGGAGGGGGGGAGGGGGGGAGTGTGCGGTACAGCCCGGGTGCGGGGGGCCGGGGGTTTGGGGGGAGGGGTCCCCCTGACACAACCAGCGTGTCGTGGTAATGACGTGAGGGTATACATACATACATACGTACATACGAGTGCCCATAGTAACACATCCCAAGAACAGTGAAAGTTAGCCGGAGGGAAATGTAGCGCCAAAGCGAAACACATACACACGCACTCGTTTCCCTCCCTCCCCCTCCCCTCCCATTTCCCCCCCACCTCGTCCTCCTTGTCATCCATCCGGGCCATCATCATCAGGCTGCGAGTAGCGGGACCCGCAATGCCGTCCACCTGTCGTACAGTCGTACTCGTGAGCACGTACATTAGTGGAGGAATGAATGCATATGCAGGAGTACGGCGCCCCATTCTCAGCCGTGTATCTCAGCCTGCCCCCACATGTTGTACGGCATGTTAGACCAGACAAACCCCCCCCCGCCCCCCCCCCGGCAGCTACCTTGAGGTGGTAGAACTCCTGGAAGCGCTTCACGGCCGCCTCCGTGGCGGGTCCGAAGTAGCCGTCCACCTCCCCGCCGTACCAGCCGTACTTGTGCAGGTATCGCTGCAGCTGCATCACCTCGCCTGCGGAGGAGGGGGTGCGCGAAGGGGAGGAGGGGGAGAGGGTCAGTTGTACAGACACAAATACGTATAAACATACATACAGGTACACACATACAAGTAAGTACCGCCCCTCCGGGCTCTCAGCTCATCACCACCACCCACCCGCCTCCAGCCCCGACTCGGGAACTGCCTCCCCCCTCGCCAGCATGAGCGACTTGTCCTCGAAGAACGGGCCCACGAGCTGGGGGAGGGGGGTGGGGGGAGGGGGGTAAGGGGGAAAGGGTTATGAGGATCCGTGGTGGGGTGAGTCAGCACATGAAGTACAACAACACGAACAGAGGATGCGGATGTGTACTTGGGGAACAGTACGGCGGCAGGGGGAGATCTCGGGTTCGTTTGTCCATTTAGACAGAACTACCGGTACCCTCGTACAACTTGTCGTGCACCCCTTCCCAAGCCATGCACCCTTGCTATAGCACCAAGTCAGGACTGCCAAACAGCCCCCCGCCGGCCGCTGACCAGCCGGGGTCAGTCTCCACCCCCCTCCCTTCCCCCCCCTCCCTTCCCCCCCCTCCCTTCTCCCCCCTCTCCCTTCTCCCCCCCCTCCCTTCTCCCCCCTCTCCCTTCTCCCCCCCCTCCCTTCCCCCCCCTCCCTTCCCCCCCCCTCCCTTCTTCCCCCCCTCCCTTCCCCCCACCTCACCTTGGGCTGCGGCACTCCCAGTCCCTCCAGGGCGGGTGCGGGTATGACCGCCCCGTCATTCATATCCACTGCAACCACCAACAGACGAGCCTGTACGGCAGTGCGCAGTGGGGGGTGGGCGGGTTTATAATGAAGAGGGGGGCGGGGAGGTGGTGATGAATGTGCATGACTGGGATGGAGCGGGGCAAACAGCACCAGACGTTGGATTACGACCATGTCTCCTAATGCCCCCCAACAGCCGCAATCCGGGTTGAATACCCTCCCCCTCCCCCTCCACCTCCTCCCCCGACCAGCTACCCTGTTCCCCACCGTGTGCCGAGTGAGCCCCAGCCGCCGCAGACAGTCCGTAACGTCCACCTCCACATCGATGGGGTCACGAGT